ATTTTTAATAATTTTCATAAATTTTACAATTTTTCATAAATTTTAAGTTTTTTCATTTTTTTTTTAAATTTTTCAATTTTTCATAAATTTATCAATTTTTAATAATTTTCATAAATTTTACAATTTTTTATAAATTTTATGTTTTGTCATTTTTTTCATAATTTTGCAATTTTTAATAATTTTCATTATTTTTACAATTTTTCATAAATTTTAAGTTTTGTCATTTTTTTCATAAATTTTTCAATTTTTCATAAATTTATCAATTTTTAATAATTTTCATAATTTTTACAATTTTTCATAAATTTTAAGTTTTGTCATTTTTTTTATAATTTTTCAATTTTTATAAATTTTTCAATTTTTCATTATTTTTCATTATTCGGGGTTGGTAATGATAAAAAAAAAATAATATCAATTTTTATTTTTCTTTATTGGTCATTACAACAATCGTTTCACAAACTGCGGAACTCAGTTAATATAATACAAAAATATAAAATAAATGGTTTGCAATTATTTTTTTTAATACAATTTAATATTAACATTACTTCAATGAAAGCTCTTGAAACATACAACAGGATACAATTATCATTACTTAATAACTCTCTGGACATAAAAAATTTAAAATCTTTAAAAAAAAAATGTATATAATAATTAAATCAGTACATGAAAATGTTTTTCAGTCTATAATATATATTACTTCATTGAAATTTATATCTAAAAATAATACTTGAGATAAGTATTTCGATTTTTGTTGTTTTAAATAATTTTTGTTCTGAGTCTTGAATTTATTGCATATTATCTGGAACCAATTTAATAAAATAGTATTGCTTGATAAATTCTGAAAAAATAAAAAATAAAAATATTTATAACAATGCAGTTTAAATATTTTATTTCTTATGAATAATGTAATTTAAGGGATAATGTATGTTATTAATAAGGAGTACCCTTGGCCCAAATAAATTCAAACAACCAGATAAATTTTTATAAAATTTTTGTACATTTTTTAAGAGGTTTTTTTCTTCAGAATAATGTATAATAATATGCAACTGATTTATCATAAATTGATCAGTCCAATGTTTGGCTGATTCAATAAATTTTTTTAAACATTACCTGTTAATTACCAGTTTTCATATGATTAAATTAGTTTTATAAAATATTATTGAATTAATTAGAAATTTAATTTTGTTTAAAAACGATTAATAATTTCATATTAACTGCATTTTAAAATAACATTTCATAATTCAATTATACTTCATAGAAGTGTAGATTGTTTAAAGCAGAGATTCCCAAACTATTTTTCTTTGTATACCACTTGCTAATTTTTTCTATTTAACATAGAACCCCTGGTATTAAATTTTTGTTATAACTCATCGTTGTGTTTTCAACAGTTTACATTGTTTACACAGAGCTACTCAGTTCAATAGGGTTTGCTGTGAGAAAACAATTTTGATTTAAAAAACCTGTTAAGTTTGTTTTGATAAATCTTTATTTTTTTTAATAGTGACAATACTTATTAATATTTTTAAAAATAAAAATTAGATCTAAAAACATAAAAAAAAAATTATAATTTTAATGGGAAGGGTGAATTTGATGCTTTGATATTCAACTTCCAATGTTTAGCTTCAAATCATTTAAGTTTAACCTTAAATCTTCTTTATCAGTTATTTCCAATCATTTTCTCTTTTTTATTAGAAGATTGGCAACCTTGTTAAAACCTTTTTCTACGAGGTATGATGACGGAAAAGCAATCAAAAACTTCCTTGCGATATTCCATAATGCAAGTTAAGTAATTGGTAGATCTTTTTGAAGCCAAAACTGCTGATATACATTTCTTTATTTCACCTCAAATTCTTCATTAGTACTTATTCCTATCAATTCATCTTGTACTACGACATCTGATTCTTCTATGTCGCCGTATGGATCGATAATTCACTGTAATATTTGCATCGTTAAAATATAAGTTCATGTGAAGGATATTTTAATTTTAAACATAGCCAAAATTTTGTCATTTTCGCAGTTTGTATGAGAGAAATTATAAAATTGAGAAAATACGCGTTATCCAATGGTTTACTCATTTCGTCAATTCTGACATAAAAATATGCAATGATTGACTTTGTTTTTATTAAATTCATATTATCACCTGGTACCTAGTTGCAAGTTAATTTCATCCATTTAAGCAAAAAAATCTGTTAAATAAGCCATATTTTCTTTCTTTAAATCATATTTTCTTTTAATATAGGATCTTAAGCATCTAAAGCTTCTGAAACACTATCAAAAAGTGAAACAAATCTTGTCAAACATAAGCCTTTCGACAGCCACCGTACTTCAGTTTGAAGTAATCAATGTAAGTTCTCATAATTTTCTTTACATAACCGTGCAAGCAAATAACCTGGAATTCAACGAATTACTCCAAATTTTATTTACTGCGTTTATGATAAATTGACCCCCTTCCCAGTTAGGTTAGAATCAACCCAAGGGGGAAATAGACAACTTTGGGAACCTCTGGTCTAAAGAGTAAAATTAAATTATAACTATAGGCTAATAAATATTTATTATATTATACTATTTAGATTACCTCATCTTTTACCATATATTTCTTGACATTGCCTAAGCTGTGCAATTTTGTTTCTGCATATATATCATCATAAATTACATACATGAAAATGTCAACATTGATAAATTTATATGTTCCCAATTTAATGACTGAATCAACCAAATCCAATATATTTGATTCAATCGAACTAAAGAAGTCATCTATTAAATCATGCCTTGGAGAAAGAATTCGACAACTTATAATACAATCAATTTTTTTTTTTCTATTGATTTGTATATTTTTCTGTTTAAAATAACGCATGGATATTTTATGTGCAATAGTCTCCATATGCTGACGGTCATTGTTTTTAACAATGAATTCATGGCATTTTGAACATCGAATCAGTTTTACAGGTTCTGTCTTTTGTTGATTATCTGAAGAAAAAAAATATTGTATATCTCTGTTACCAAATAAACTATTCTATAATATTTTTCATAAAATCAGAGATTTAATAAATAGTAAAAATAATTATGAACTAATTTTATAAGCTAAAATAATTATAATTGTTAGGCTTAGTGACTAAACTCTTAAACGTACACAAATATGCACTAAAAAATTGCTAAATATACTCAAAAACAGCGGTTCTTAACCTTTTGTAGATCACGAACCCTTGATAAAAGATTTTTGGAAATTGCGGACCCCCTAACCAATTTTTTTTTATTTTTACAAAACATCTCATGTTATTAAAACCAAAATTATAATAATGATTTTATATAATAAATTATATTAGTAGGCATAACATAACATATATATTTATAATTATTTTTATTACTTTTAATTTTTAAGTTAATTGAAATTTAATTATTTTAGTTTTTCTAAAAATTTAGTTTTTAATAACTTAATGTGATGATATTGATGTTATACTTAAGACACAAGTTTTTGAACATTGTATGAAGATAAGATCTATAAATTGTACAATCTATTATCTATCTATCTATCTATATATTGTATAATAAAAATATATGAAAAAGAAATTAATAATAATAATGATCCAACAATAGTGTAATAATGCACTCATGTCACGTATTGAAGAATTTTATGTGTTAGGGCTGTCGCAGACCCCTGAAATGAATATCGCGGACCCCAGAGGGCCGCAAACCACAGGTCAAGAATTGCTGCTCTAAAATATGCACCTAAAAATAATGCGCTAGAATATGCCAAAAAGAATTAAGTATAACAAATAAGTGGTTAAATTAAATATTTATTTTATTAGAATTTATAATATAATGAACACAGAACAATAATTAAATATAATATAAACATAACAATAGTAATAAAATAATATCTATTATCAAACATCTCCTATTGGTTTAGGGCCTATTAAACCCCTATAAACAGTAAATACAGGTTTATAGGATTATTTATACCTACACAAAAATTATAAGTGATAATTTGCAGATAGCATATTACTGGTAGTGTATATTTTTTTCAATCGGTTTAAATATGAAGATATTGTTATAACTTATATAGTTATACCATAAATGTATTTATAGTTTTTAATTTTAAAATTAAAAAAATTGTCAAAATCTATCAAATATGCACACTCAAATTTTTGATCTGATATCATGGCACGGAGAAATTTATTTATTTCGCACTCTGCTATTTTTAACAATAATTAACAAAAGTATGCAAATGCTAGAAGTCCCTAAGCCTAATAATATATATAAATAATAATACTAATAATAATAATAATAATATATATAAATATACTTTAAAATCTTCCTTAAAGTTATTGATTTCTATGATAATCATAATTCTTTTTATAGTTGCAACTATATTTACAAAAATAAATTATGTAAGACATAAAAAAAAAAGAAAAAAGAATTGAAATTTCTTATTCAAATTTGTATTAAAATGTATTAAAACTGTTAACAATTTTAACAATTTAAATTTAAAAAAAATTATATTCTAAAATTACTAAAAGAAACCTTGGAAATAATAGCACCCATTCTTACTACTAATTATAGCAGCTGTTATACCTTTTAAAATGTGGTAGGGGGTAGGTGGGTAACTAATATTTAAAAAAACTATAGTTGCTTTATGCTCATTTTTGTAGTTGACAATAGAAATATTGAATTAATAATTATAATAATAAGAAATATCAACATAATAATAATAAATGAACATTACTTACTATTTTCAGTATTTAAAACCCTTTGAATATGTTCATTAATATCACTGGAATTCTTTGCAACACTAATGGTTTTCATTTCTAAATCTCTTTTTTCAGAATTTGAAATGTTAGGATCAGTTGGCTTTAATTTAATTTTTTTAAAAACATGAGGTATTTCTTCTTCACCTGAAAAAATAAACATTTAATTCAAGAATTATATACTTTTTTTAATTCAAAAGACATAATATCAGATATAATAAATAAAACCATATCACTAATTAATAATAATTTAACTTGATATTTTAACATTTTGAACCAGTGAATTATACTAGTGAATTGTGTGAAATATATTAACTTATATTATGTTTGAATAAGGCTGTATATAGACATTTTTTTCCAGAGGGGTCCAAAACATGTATATTATAATTTTATTGAATTTAGATTTTAACTTTTGATATTTGGTTAAAAATATACAGAAAAAGATTTAATCTTCTTTTATTAAAACTAAATCATATTTTCATATGATATGATATAAAATTATAAGCAGTCAATGATTAATTGGAGCTTGAGTAATTTTTGACTAAAAATACTTATGTTGGTATTAAAAATAAAGTATTTTGAACATTCGTAAAATATTGAAGAAATTTTGAGGGGTCCAAACACTCTGAATCTCCTCCAGATACGGTCTTGTATTTGAACACAAGCACTATTAATTTCATTTTTTTAACAAAAATGTTAATTATAATTTATAAGCATAACACTAAAAGAAACACTTAAATATAACTTCAGTAAAATTCCATACAGATTTATGACGTAGGTATAAATTTTGTAATTAACTATTCTGCTTTGTGTTAAACAAAATAATAAAATATATCAACAGTATTATGTACATATATATATTTTTAATTTAATTACCCTCGGCAAAAATGGCCAATAGGAATTAAAATAAACAGAATTATAATATTAAATAAATATTACTAACAATTTTCAGTATTCCAAGTCTTTTGAATATGTTCATTAACATCATTGGAATTGTTTGCATCGCTAATGGTTTTCATTTCTAAATCTCTTTTTTCAAAATTTGAATAGTTAGGATCAATTGGCTTTAAACCTGTTTCCTCAACAGTATTAGATATTCCTACAACCGAATTAATAAATATTTAAATCAAGACATTTAAATTAAGCTAGTTACAACAAATTTTCTTTTCTTTTACTTAAATGGAATAAGAAAGAAAATTAGAGTGTAATTGTTTAAGAAGTAGAAATATAGCATTAAAAATACATATGAATTCGTATTTGTATGTTCACAGCAACTTCTAAGATTTCAAATATGATGAATATCTAATCTCTCTACTACTAACTTTAATTTAGAGTATGTTCATGAATGGTACTCAAGAAAAATTCAAACTAAACTCTTCGTTATATCACTATTAATGCTACCAATATCTACAAACCTTTACATTTATCAATGCCAAACCGGTTTTTCAATGTTCACCATGCAATCAATTTAATCATCCAAGAGAATTTTGGTCAATGAGTTATATAAAATGATAAAAAGCTAACAGGGGAAATAATTATAAAAAGAAAAACATAATCCAAAAAAAAAATGTCCAAATAATGATGACACCGATTTACGGCTTACATAACGTCTGTTCATTAAATGAAACATAATAGTTTTGATGACGTCATAAGTGTCCAGAAAAAAAAAACAAATTTCATTAGGTGGAGATACCACGACAGACATGTACCTGTGCTGAACCGCCATCGGGAAAAAACAATGCTCACCTGCGGTACGCGGCCGTCGTTTTGCATGCACCGCCGAAACGTTGGCCTTATGGTTGTGCCGATGCCACTTGATGACCGTCATCGATAGGCAATTGGGGTCCCCCGGAACAAATATCAATTTACGATGTCGGCTCCAACGCTTAGAGCGCACCGATACCGCAACCACTTGCCCCTTGCACCCGGATTCCGTGCAATGCCACAGCGTGCGCAACGGTTGCGCTTCTTCCGTGCATTTGTACTTGTACAGGTAGCCTTCGTGCGGCAGCAGCCACTTCACCAATTCATCGCTCAAGTCCTCCATCACGCACGGCTAAGGTTGGCTTGCACATACGGTTTACTTGGTTAGAACGGTGCGCTTCTACCCACGATCAGAACGCGGTGAGAAATTAGCGCGAACTGACTGACGAAGGTGACGTCATATCCCCGACGAAAGGAATGCGTAAAAACGTTAAGAACACGGATGTAACGATATTAACTAATGTCGTTTTGAAATAACTGATAACAGATTTGATAACCAAATAATGGTCACAAATTAAATACTTAAAGCCGGGTTCAGGGACGGGTACAGAGGAGCGTCTAAACACAGGAATGCACCTTATGCGTTCTGCGCATGCGCGTAATTTATTCACCACCATCATGTTAGGCTGTTATGTCAAATCACTATAACACAATAATAATATAATAATATGAGTTTTGAATTAAATTTTCAAAATTAGAACATACTACTTACGTATTTTACACTTTTTTTTTTTGCTTCGACCATTTCAGTAAATAAATTATTATACATACCAAATATATTTGAAAAAAAAAAATCAAAACAGCAATAACTATCTAACAGACTTGGGTAAAATACTTTTTTAAGTATTTAAAATAAATACTCGAATATTTACAAAAAATAGTATTCCAAATATTTATTCAAATACATTATACAAATTGTATTCCAAATACATTATTTAGAATAATTTAAAAGTATTCCGAATAATTTTAAAATATTTCTAGTTTTCATACTATAAAAATAATAAATGTCCACTCAACAGAAATATTTGAAATTGCAGACTAAATATATGTTATTGTATTGTATTTTTATATTACATAACTGTTATAGTTTATGGTTTACAACAATAATAAATACCTGATATTAGCTTACACAAGATACAACGGAGAAGTAGGTAATAAAATCACTTAATAAGAGATGATTTAACGGTATTCGAAATACAGTATTCAGAATACTCGTTATAAGTATTCAAAATACTTTATTGAATACTTTCAAAAAAAGTGGTATTTAAAAAGGTATTCGAAATAAGGTCAGTTGGGGTAACTGCGACGCGAAATTGAAAACTTATATAATTGATAACTTATTTCGCATTTTATTTTTAATAAAAGAATATTATCATGATTTCATTTTATTAAGAATGTTGTAAGGATTATAAATTTGAGGTTAAAATTTAATTTTCAACAGTTTTCGAATTTTTTTAAAATATTTGTTTCAAACATTTTTAAATGTCGCACTTACCCCGTCTCCTGGGGTAAGTGCGAATCTGTGTCTGAAAAATAGTAAAAATGCTTTAATTTTATCATGGGGGAAGTGCGTAAAACTGCATTTAATTACCTACAATTCAGTGTTTTTAGAGGAGAAAAATTCTGAACAGTTAAAAAATGACAGAACATTTAATTTTTTTTAAATGTATGTGTTAATTATATCATTAATTATATATTATATAATAACCTTAATTATGATCAAATTAATTATTCAGACTTCATGTATAGTGTTATACTATTTAACTTCATATTTATTAATCAACATAACAATAACACAATATAAATAGGTAAGTAATAAGTATAGAACAAAATAAAAAACTTATGAGTTACTTTTTCAAGTTATATACATTCATAATAATTATAGGTAACCACCAGATAATTTTTCAGACTTTATGTTACTTAATACTAATTAACTTTAAATCAATCAACATAACAATAAAACAACATAATAATTAAGTACTTATTAAAATTGAAAATATTTTGTAAGTAATCAGTAAGCCTTTTTAGCTAGTAACAATTTTTCTTTTGAATATGCGTCACCCTTTTTGGTTTTTCTCACATAAAATCTCACCATTTTACCTTAAAAAATATTCAAAACATAAATTAAATTTTATAGTGAACATTTAAATAATACATGGGTAAGTGCGACATAACATGTCTCACTTACTCGCAGACGATTGTCGCACTTTCCCCGTCATACATTTTACAAGGGGAAAGTGCGTAAGCACCATTTCTACATTCTTTCATAAACTGAATTTATAATCTGTAATATCTGGATTCGCACTTACTCCGATTACGTACTTACTACCCAAGTCTGCTATCTAATATGTTGAGATGGCTTTTAATAATGTTTATTTATATCTACATTTACCCAATTACCTATTTGAACATTTTGTCGTGGACCAGCTGGTGACACGACGCACAAGTATAATAAAAAAAAAGAACAAACACCAACGCTGATTGTAAGGTGGTAATGGCCGGTAGGCCATTAAAGAATATTAAAGAATAATACGAGCACGAATAACACGAGTACGAAAAACACGAGTACGATCGTTGGCAAAAACGCGACAAAAAAAAAAAAGAGAAAAGTATAAGGCGTCACTTTCAAAGATAAATATGTTAGGTTTAAATGATAATTTAATAGGTAAGGATAGAATTATTAATGTAGGTAAGTGTTTAAATAAAACGTCTTAAACCATTAGAACACAATGTTCACTTTTATTTTTGTTGGTATATAAATAAAAAAAATTGTTTCATTCAAATTAGTTGTGTTCAACATCAAAGGAGTAAGACTGTGTTAACTGTATTAAAATTTTAAAATTAATTAAACATATTTTAGAAAAAAGTCATACAATAAAACGACGTACATCTACTAGAATCAGAAGAGTTCCGTTACGTTTTTGTAATATTTGGAATTTTTTTTTTTAGTGTGTTTAATCAAACATGTCTTCACTAGTTCCAGTTCCAATAGTTGCTAAATCAAAATTTGAAATTTATAATAAAAAGTATGTTTCAGTTGGATATTTAATTGGAAAAGAAATTTCAATTGCTGTATTATTAGAATCAAACTGACATTTTTTAACTCTGAATTTTACAAATTGGAATGATTTAATGCACGAGTCTAATTTTAATTTGATTTTAAAAAATGTACAAGCACGGCACAAGTCTTTAGTTCAATTAAATGACAATTTATGTTATTCAATAAATGCAAAATACTCTTCAATCACATTAAAATTGAATAATAATATTTTAGCATTAAATATTATTGATCTTTGTTGTTTAAAACAAATTCAAATTTGTATAGAATCAAATATTATAGAAAAACAGAAAAAAATTAATTACTATCAAAATTGTTATAATTTGTTCTATTCAACATTAAAAGAATCCATATCAAATCTTCCAGCTAGCTGTCAATCAAATGCTTTTACATATCAATTTATACAAAATTATGGTTATGACTCAGATTTAGAATGTATGTCTTTAATAAGCGAAATTCAACAGTTTCAGTATGTACCATTGTCAAATCTAATATTGTACGATCTATATCAATAGAACAATAATTAAAATATTAAAATAAGTATTCGATGTATGAAATTTTATTTAAATTATGTTATTATCTGTTATAAACATTACTGATTTGTATTATATATATTGTATAATTTACTGCATGTTATCAACCCATAATTGTATATTATTATAATTTAAAATTTAATAAAGTAGTCAACATCAAAAAAGATGGTTATATATTTATTTATTATTACATGATAAATTATTTACTTTTATAGCATTTATTTATCATTTTTTTAAGTTCTCAATCGAGATTTTTTTTTTTTCATCAGTATAATATTAAAAAATATCACTTTTTTAAAAAAAATTTAAACGTAATATTCAAGTATAAACTTATATTTTTATTATTTCAATATATAATTTTTCAATTCAAATTCAACTTAAATTTTTATTGGTCATTTTCTTTTTCGGGTCAGCCATAAACCAATCCAAAATTAGTTCGATTGTTGTTTGCAGTTGGTTGTTAATATTTATGTCGTTGCTTTTCTGGTCTGACAGAGTCCTTTTGATTATACATTCAGCTTGTTTCCACCTAAAAAATTGAAAATGGTTAATACACAATTATTTAAGATTTCATATTTAATATCACCTTTCCTGAGACGGAACATTAGCAATTTTATCAGCCTTGAAATGCTCAACCACCCAATAGTCTTGACCAGCTGGTGATGGACATTTTAAAGTGTAATTTTTTTCTGCTTCTCTTATTACGATACTGTCACTTAATTCCGTTGGTAAATTATTATATTTTTTAGATTTTTCAATAGCATTAAGTTTTTCTTTATATGATACAACCTAAATATAAAAATAAAAATATGAATTAGTTCAACAATTAATTTTTGTTACAAATTTTTAAAAAAAAAAATACATTTCCGGATTTCATTTTTTTAGTTTTTCTTTTTAAATTTTTTTTAATTTTTTGCTTATTCATTTCGTCATCCATTTTTATACTTGAATTGGTCTATAATAAATATAAAAGAAAACATTTTTTTTTTTTATATTCATATACATTAAATTCAGATTCATGTAAATTTTTATTGAAAGTAGACATGTAGTTTGATAAAAAATAGAAATTGTGCAACGGCAATTAATTCTTTATTAGCTGAAAATCTTTCTTTAAAACTCATGTTTAATTGATCAATTATTTGTTGAAATGTTTGAACTCTAAATTTAACAATTGGTTGTGTAAATGATTCATTTTTAGTATTCTCATCAAACTGTTTCCTTTTCTTTTTTACTCGTCGGCTTTCTTGAAATTTATCTTCTATAAATACATTTTTTGGTATTTCTAAGTTGGATAGATTGTCATTCATATCAACAGCAAACTGTTTTGCTTCTATAATATTTTTAAATGCAATTTGTTTATTATCTTTCGTGGTATTCTCCACCATTCTCCAAACTGAAATAAAATCCAATTGTTTTGTCAGTAAATAATCAGAAGTGGGTCTTACATATTTGAAAATTTCTAAAAATATATGAGCGGTAAGTATATTTTTAAATTCACACATATTTTTTAATAAAGAATTGGCTTCAGATGTAGTATAATAGTCAAATGAATAATCTTTTGAAATATAAAATAACACACTTATAACTGTAGGAAATAAACAATTTTCCCCTTTAAATATACACTCTAATGCCTTGTGCCTTGACCATCATCTTGTATTGGTTTCAGCCACTTTATGTAATTTTCTTAGTTTATCTGTTCCAATATTGCTATTTTTAGTATTTTTTTCTTTTCAAAATATTCATTATTTTATAAGAACTGCTAAAAAATGTTGCCAAACGGTTTAAAAGTCTAAAAAAGGTTTTTGAATCAATATTTTTGAATATATCAACTATACATAAATTTAAAATATGACTATATAAACACTTTTCTCATTTTGAGATTTTATATATGTCTGTAAACTCGAAAATTCACCACTCATATTATTTGCTCCATCAAATAACTCACCGGTGACATTACTAAATATAAGTCCATGTTCTGTAAAACAATCTTTAAGTAATTCATATAACTCTTTACCTTTAGAACTTTTCACTTGGACTATTACAAAAAGTCGTTCTTTTATATCACCATTAAAAATATAACGAACACAAATTGAAGCTTGATCCATTGCATCAATATCTTGAGTACTATCCATTTGAATACTAAATTTTTGTTCGTCTATTTCGTTTTTAATTTTATTTCTCATTGACCTCATTATTCCCAATATTACTTTATCAACAGTTAATTTAGATAATAATGTAACCAATGAGCCCCTTCCTTTTGAATGCATTTTATTTCCATTTTCTAAATTTTGTTTTCTAATCTTACTGTTTTTAATAGCTCATCGCAAAGGTTCATGCAATACTTCATCTGTTTTGGCTGTAAATTGGATGATCTCTAAAAAATTACACTTATTCAGTGTGATATCATCAAAATTGGATAATGTTTCATTGGAAGCAGATCTTCTATATGATAAGTTTTGACGACCAAGAAACTTTATGATTTCAAAAATTACTTTGACTTTGAGTACATGAACATTGTTTTCCACTTTTTTTTTTTTTTTTATTGCCATCATGTTTTTATAAACAAGATACTCCATGGATATTTCTTTTGAAGCAAGGAAATATCCTTCAACTGCATTCATACGTAGAGTAGATTTTTCATGTCGTTCAATAGCCGAGTACATAAATTTTAAATTTGTACAACCATCACTATTTGAATAATTACTTAATCCAGAACCAAATGCTATACAAATTGGACAACACATTGCCTTAAAATTATTATCCTCCACTAAAATAGATAACCAACTTCTATGTATCCTTTTTCCGGAGACAGTTCTATATTAAATTTTATTAAAATCAAAATTTGTTTTTTGTCTGGGTAGGTTGGATTGGATGTTTTTTTTATAAAATCTAATTTCTGAGTCACATTTGCATTACTATTTAATTTGAAATTAGAATATGAATTAAAATGTTCAAAACATTCTTGATTGACATCATTTTTTACTTCCAGGTGTAATGGAAATAAAATAAAATAATTTAAATTAATAGTTATTACCTACTTAATAGTTAAAACGTAGTGTTTTTTTCGAATATGATTAAATACATTTTTAACATCTATTATAGTGGTTCTCAATCTTTTGTAGATCACGGACCCCTGATGAAAGATTTTTAGAAATTGCGGACTCCCTTACCAATTTATTTTTTTGAATACGTTTTTTTTTTCACAAAATGTTCATGTTTTTTCATGTTTTTACACAAAATTATAATAGTTATTTTATATAATAAATAATATTAGTAGACATAATAAAACATACATATTTATAATTATTTTTATTACATTTAATTTTTCAGTTAATTTAAATTTAATTATTTTAGTTTTAATTTTTTTTTTTTAGTATTCTTAAAATTTAATTTTTATTAACTTAATGTAATGATTGATGTTATACTTAAGATACAATTTTTTGAATATCGAATGAAGATAAGATCTATTTATTTTATAATAAAAAATATATGAAAAAGAAATTAATAACAATAATAACCAAACAATATTATAATAATGCACTCATGTCACGTATCGAAGTATTTTATGTGTTAGGGCTGTCGCAGACCCCCGAAATGAGTATCGCGAACCCCTAGAGGGCCGCGGACCACAGGTTAAGAACCGCTGATCTATTAAGTTATAGCACAGTGGCCGCGACTACACTTTTGAATGTAAATGTTCCGCGTTCGAACCCAAATTCATCAGTATTATTTTTTGTACATTTTTAGTTTTATTGATAATTTCTATTCCAAGCTAATTGTTTGCGCTAATTTTCGTTTACACCATCGTTTTCAGCGTTAAAAAACACTAAGTTGGCAAAAGAAAATATCCAAAATTTTGGGTGCCCGGTAAAGTACAATTATACCGTACTATGTATTATTCATTATTACTTACCTTTACTGGCGTTGTAGTTGTAGTAAGAAGATTCAACTGACAACTTTTGGTCTTTAAAATACAATTTTTTTTGTTTTGGATCATTTCCAATCATTTTGAGTTCTGCTGCACGTTTTACTTTAATATTTTCGGCACCACTTTTCACTTTTTTAACATTATTCATTTTTTAATATTAATATATTTATATAATAAATAATTATTTACATTAGGCAGAGCAAAAAAGTCAAAAATTAAAAGAGTTCACAGTTCAAACTTGAAAAATTGTACAAACATACAAGAACGAACAAATGAGTAATGACATAATAAGGCTACACACCACAACACGCTCGTCAGTTAAACGCACGTATTTATAATTACACTGTATTTAGATAAACTGATTTTCAAATTTCCAATACTATTAAAATAAAGACCATTGCAAAAGAGGTTGTTTTGACTCTGTATGGACTTGTGATTAAGTTTGGGTTCGGTCTTTTCTATTGGCTTGAACTTATCCTTGAACGAGTGGCTTCTTATATCGGATTGGAGTACAACATAGTTTTCTAGATGGCTTCTTCTTATCTTCTACAACTACGTCACTGGGAACTCCAAAGCCACACTCAGGTGTTACGAAAAAGTTGAAAATAAAATTAGA